AAGGAAGGAAAGGAAAGAAAGGAAAGAAAGGAAGGAAAGGAAGGAAGGAAGGAAGGTTAGCTCAGTTAAGAGCATGATGCTTATAACACCAAGGTCCAGGGTTTGATCCCTGTAATGGCTATCTGCCAAAAAAATAAAATGAAAGAGAGAGAGAAAAAAGAGAGAAAGAGAAGAGGGGAGTGAGAAGTTAAATGAGACAGGAATGGCAAAACTGTTCAGTTGTCAAAACTGTCTAACCTATACTACATATCAAACAGTACAACTTTCAAGTTATAGTTGCTACCGGTTTAGCAAATTAAATTATGATCTTGAGCAAATCCCTACATGCCTCAGTTTCTTCATTAATAAAATGGGACGATAATAGTGAGTACCTTGTGGAATTAATGAGGATTGAAAGATATAGTACATATAAAATATTTAGAATGACTGGCACTTAAAGGTTTATAAATACCCAGTAATATTATTTACAGATGCCTCTGCTAGTTAAAAGATGGGAAGCAGTGTGAAAATAACTTAGGATCATTGTCAATACCAGAATGACATCCTCAAATGGTCTCTATACAAAGAGCTAATGCATTCTTAAAGCAGATGATTCACAGTGTGTACATATGAATTGCAAATATTTTAATGACATACACCACCATGTTTTTAAGTAATGCATTTAGCAAAATGACAGAAAAAAGAAAAAGTTCATTAAGAAATTAAGAGGGATCAACCTTTTACAATTATTTTATTATAAGATATTAAAATAACAATCCAAAACAAAATTTCTCCATAATCCTATCACATAACAAAATCACTGCTTTCATTTGTTCATGTTACTTTCTTTTTTTTTTTGTCCTTTTTGTGACCGGTAAGGGGATCACAACCCTTGGCTTGGTGTCGCCAGCACCGCGCTCAGCCAGTGAGCACACTGGCCATCCTTATATAGGATCTGAACCCGCGGCGGGAGCGCCACTGCGCTCCCAGCACTGCACTCTCCCGAGTGCGCCACGGGCTCAGCCCATGTTCATGTTACTTTCTTTTCCTTGTCTACATGTTCAATTTTTACATATTTACAATAATATCACAAATAACATTTTATAGTTAACATTTTCACTTTTTTTTTTTTTGTCCTTTTTTGAGACCGGCCACACCGCGCTCAGCCAGTGAGTGCTGTGAGCGCACCGGTCATCCCTATATAGGATCCCAACCCGTGGCGGGAGCGCTACTGCGCTCCCAGCGCCGCACTCTCCCGAGTGCGCCACGGGCTCGGCCCAACATTTTTCACTTTTATACCATGAGTATGTTTTCAACTTTGAGAAATTTTCACTTACATGCCTGTTTCTTTCTCATCTCCACCACGTGAAGGTAATCAATAGTAACAGCCTGACATGTACTCTCCACAACTTTCTCTGAATTCATATACAGGCATACACAGACATATGTGGGGAGGGGAGAAAGGTAGGTTTGTTTTCACAAAAATGGAAGCATACTACTTATACATATGCTTTCTCTTTTTTTAAGCATACCAAACATATATACCTCAAATTTAATATGCAGATTAGTTTAAGTATGAAAATGGATACAACTTACTAGACCAGGTAATAACACATAACACATACATTTACAAAAGTTATTATTTTGCATGTAAACTTTGAAAAGATATAGGGATTTTACAACAAAATATGGCTGCCAGATTTAGTTAGACTTTATACTTCATAACACACTGTTTATTATAATAGCTATACATAAACTATTTATAACAAGCCTACCTAAGGAATCTTAAAACCTATTTTGGAAAACAAAAATTTTACAATCTTAAAAAAATTCATAAATACTATCCCCAAAATATCCTAACTTTAAAGTGTGTATGCATGTGTGTGTGTGTGTGTGTAATGCTGGCCTTCATATATAGGCACAAGGATATGAACTTGGTTCTCTATATAGATGGAGATAGTGCTGACCAACCCACATACTCAGTTCCCCCACGTTCACAAATTGAGAAACCGGCATTAAAGAATAGTCTGAATACAATCACATAGTCTCACAGAATATAACCAAATCAATCTTCTCTAATCAATAAATACTATTCTAACTACCCAAAAGCATGAAAATAAGACAACAGGTAGACCTACAAAGCATCTAAGGTTGTTAATCCCATGGTCTTAAAATGCAGTCCTCTCACATCTAACCATAATCTAGAGCAATCAGAAGATCCCTAAATCTGGATTCACAGAAGAGAACTCAGGCTAGCTAGTTAGCTCATTTGGTAAGAGCACGATGTTACAACACCAAGGTCAAGGGTTTGGATCTGGTACTGTCCAGCCTCCAAAAAAAAAAAAAGAAAGAGAACTCTGGGGGTGTAAAGGATGATATGAAAAATTGATAAAAGCCCCCAATATTACCAAGCAGAGAATTTGGTACCCAAGCCATAGAGCCTCTGCTGTTAACAAGTAAACTTTTCTAACCAAAATCAATAAAAGTCTTTTGAACACCTATTACATGGAAGTCATAGGTGTTGGAGATGCAAAAAGCAATAAAATGGGCCCTCTCCTAAAGGAGTTCACAATTTAACAGGAGAGCTAGCATGTACAATTACCATAAGTATCATAGCAAAGACCTAGCATACAGCTCATCAACTAGCATAGGTGCACAACTTTTTTGTGGCTTACTATAAAGGTCTAAAGCAGTAAGCATCATAAATACAATACCATGCCATCAATGCAGTTTCAGATTAAATAACCTAAAGTTATTATCTAGGTCTATGTAGTTAATTTGTTTTAACCACCTCAAGGCAAGCAGTCAAATTATTTAAAAAGAAATTGTATTCCACAATCCCCACTAATCTATTTGGAGTACACATAAGGAATCCACGTGGAGTTTGACACATAAAAAAAAGTGGGAAAAAAGGCACTTGTACCATTTAAGACAATCCTATTGAACATTCTCACCAAATATTAAAACCAAAATGAATTATGGATCTAAAAGGCATTGACTGTAATGTTTCTCCACAATGAAAAATAACAGGGGAAGACCTGTACAAGTATTGTGTACGTTACATACTGTTAAAAATAATAATGTTTTGATTGCTACCAGTGTGACACCTTTTAAAGGTACTACAGGAGAAAGAAGAATGTATTTAAAATCTAGTCAAATTTGTTGCCAAAGTGCATAGATGTTCTCTAGAACATTCTATGTTAAAAGGTGAATGACAGCAGCATTAGCGGCAACAGGATGCAAAGATCTCCCTGAATTAACATTACACATCTACAGTAATTTACCCTATATATTTTAATTGGTGGACCATATGCCATATGTCTTCACTCAAGCAAAATGACGATCCAGTTCAAAACTGATCACAGCTTGAAAAACAATTTAAAATTTCAAAACACCAATATTTGTACTCAATGAACTATTTGGGCATACCATCATATTGCTAACTATTTGGGCATACCATCATATTGCTTAACTTGCTCTATCTAGACTACTGCATGAGGAGAATCTAACATTTTGTAAACCTAAGACTATTAACATTAAATTTTAATTGCTCAAAATACTACAATGAAATGCATTAAAATAAGATGACTGATGAATTCATGCAGGAATAGACAGATGGATAAATATGTGACAATACAAACACAGTAAAATGTTAATGGTAATCGGGTCTATGGATGCTCCCTGTCGATTTTTCAATTTTGCTGGATAGTTGAAAATATTTTCCTAACAAACTGCTGGAAAAATGCTTCTTTGGTTATTTATAATTTACGCTTTTAAGGAGAAACGTGTAGATTAAAAGAAACTCCTATTTGAACACAGGCACTCTAGTTGAGACAAACCTGGATTCAAATCCCAGCTCAGCCTCTTAACTAGCAGTCTCATCTTAAACAATTTAAGCTCTCTACGCCTACATTTCCTCATCTGCAAGTGGGTTTTATACAGAGTTACTGTAAGATTAAATTCTTCACGTAGAGCACTTAGCACAGTGCCAGGCACATAGTAAACACCCAAAATGCCAGCTGTAATATCAATATGAGATTGCTAATTTTATGCTACATTGGAAGGGCATTATCAAGATTAAGAAGTAATTTTTTAACCCGGTTGGTTGGCTTAACACTAACTGATCGTTTTGAGACTAACCCCAAAGAGAAGATTCCTATAGGAAACTTTCTCTTTAATTTGCTAAGGGGGGAAGAAGTAAAATAAAAGTCAAAAAAAAAATATTGCTCAACCGATAGTGCAGTATTGTTCTCCATCTGAAAAAAAATCATTCAGAATTAAATAAGAAAAGTTTCAAGATAAACTTTAAAAGGCATTCAACAACTCCTAAGCAGAACTGGCTTCACCTCTGCAGGATGAATGGGTACATCCTCGTTATGACAAAACTTGTCATACTCTTCCACGTTTCCAATTGCGAGTAGAGAGACCAGACTAAAACATGACATTTACGGTTATTAAAATCTTTCTCCTAAATCAGGACATGCCAGCGATCCCACTTCTTCGCAGGTAAAAAGCACCACCTCCACTTTGGTCTTGATAACGGTTATAGGGGGAGGGGAAGGAGGCAGGAAAATGAATTCGCGATGGTGTTACTTAAGAATCCTCCTGGTTTTTCTTCATGAGACCCCTCCACGACTTATTCCCGCCACCGCCACCCCCACCTGACCTCTTCCCAGTTAAACTTCCACCGACTCTAATCTACTGCAGAAGCACTTAAGAATCTGACACCTTCCCTCCCCGGGCGCAGATAACCCACCCCCAGCACTGTGGGCTGGAGAGGAGGCCCACAACAACCCCCGCCCCTCCCCCTCCCACCCAGCAGCAAATCTTTGTCCCACCTGCCGAAAAACCATTCGCCAGCGCGCTCCAGACCCAAGATTGCCTCAGACCTGCCCACAACCTTTCCCCAACCAGGCCCTCGGCGACTCCTCCACGAGCCGGGGCATCGCCCACTCCCGGCCCCAACCCCGGCGCCTGCCCCGGGCCGCGCCCCGCCCCCCGCCGCCCGAGTTCTGCCTCACCTCACCTACCCTCTTTCGGGGGCCGGACTCCACCTCTCTCTCCGCCATGTTGGGCCCCGCTCGGAACCGCTGTGGCTCCTGGCGCTGTGGCGGCGGCACCTCTCGGGCTCCCGGCCCCCGCCCACACTGCAGGCACGGCCGCCTCGCGGCAGCTTCCCCCAACCCGGCCGGGCCTTGAACTGAGAGTGGGGAAGGGGCAGATGCCGCGAGCCGGGCCTCAGATCCTGAGATCCCAGGGGTGCGCGCGTGGGCGGTCGGGCCTGCCCGGGAAAGGGGGGGGCCGGGACTCGGGGGGTTAATGGCCTCCAAGGGGCCCCGTGAGTAGGATTATTTTCTCTCAGAGAAATTCCTCCGCCTGCGGTTTCTTAAAGGGATCACCAAACCAGTCCCTTGCGCGCGCCCCTGATGCGCAGGCGCACCTTAAGCCCCTCCTTCCTTTCCCACCAAGCCCCCGGTCCTGAGCGTGCGCGGTAAGTGGCCCAGGGTAGGCCGAATCCTGCAAGTCTCTTTGCTGCCAGCAGCTGCTCCCACCACTCAACTATGGCGGCTCCCTTAAAGGGCCCATGACGCAGTGATGAAGGAGGAATGAAAGAAATTAGTGAAAAGACAATCTGAAGAATTGGGTGAAATTTCAGTGGGAAGTCCACATCACCATCGCACGCCTGATTACAGAGATGCAGTTGAAAAGGCAAAACGATGGTAAGCCCGAGTTCTCAGTGGACCTCTGAACATGAAGAATCCCAACCAATGAGGGAGCAAGACAGTCTCAAGGAAAACCAACTTTCCTGCCTTTGGACAGCCTGATCTGAAGCACAGAGCATAGAATATCAAGGGCCAACTCCTATAGTCTAACCTCAAAATCAAATCCTTTGGTGGTTTTGAAGACTGAACTAACTAACCACTGGAGATAATTTCCTCAGTAGTAATTTGTCTTTGAGAATAGAAAAATGGGGAAGAATCTTGAGAATCATCTACTTCAGTGCTTCCAATGGTAAAATTGCAGCCTGGTCATGGGAAGTAATTTGCCCCCAAAATACCTAGTGGCTGGTGTGGAATTAAAATCAAGATTTGAGTCACAGTCCTTCAAGCCTTTCAATGCACCAAGGTGTCTTCAAAGCAAGATATAAATTTGTCTTAATCTGATGTCCCTAGAAGATTAAAAATGAAAGTTCTGTGATATTTCAAGAATATTGTAATTCTCCTGTGAAGACGTGTGATGATTTGCAGGTGTTGTATGTCCTCATTCGCCTCCATTGCAGGAGCTGGAGAATCTAATTTAAAGGATGAGCATCTTTTTGTCTAAGCAGGAACCAGGAAGTAGATTTGTGTCTAACTTGCCCTGAAACCTAAGCTGGTTCGTAACCTGAGGATGGCTGAGTACAATGAGGACTTGATTTTTCTCTTCTGTTCATGCTAGTCCCAAATGCCTCAGGTAGAGAAAAATTGTCCTCATGGAGTTTATAATGATAGCCTAGGGGCAATGAGGAGACCTATAGTAAGAAATACAAAAAAGTTGACTTCTGAAGATCATTCCCCATGACAAGACATTCAAATGGGAATGAGCAACTCCTAAAATCACGGGATAACGAGATGTAACTTCCATGTGTCATTTCAACTTTTGTGTAACACTTGGTAGCTGTTTTGGAACCAAGAAGTTTCCTAATCTATGACATTTTGCTGAAAACTGTCTATGAAATTGCTGGAAGTTTACATGCTGGTACTTGCTTATGCCTTTAATTTTTAATGTCACTCCTTGGTAGGAGAGAGGAGAGAAGTACAAAGAAATATATTCATTTCAGCCAGAATTTTTTTTAAAAGTTAGATCCTTTAGTTCCATGTCCAAAACAAGAAGAAGATAAAAAGATGAGCTACGAAAAGATAGTTCCAGGGAATGTGGGTACATAAAAGGTCTAGTGTTTTCTACCTGTTTTATTGGCAGTGAAATAATCTCTCCTAATAAAAGCTGACTGCTTAAAATGGAGCCGCTAAATTTTAAGTTGAAATGTGGAACCTGCAAGCCTGTTCACTCAGTCTCACACTTGCCCTCTCTCTTTTCCTTCTTTGATGACTTCTCCCACCATTAGAGAAATGCTGAGTTTCTCAGAACACAGTTTGAGCCTATTGGTTTAGTGCAACTTCACAATTTAATAATGGAGCCATTAAATCCAGAAAAGATGTGACTTGCTTGAGATGACACAAAGTATTAGCATCAGGACTGGAACAGGCATCACACACAACTTTGGCTTTTCCTACATTAGACTGTTTCTAGAGGTATTAGGAATGTGTTGGGTCTTGAATACTAAGCAGGATTTGTTCATTCCAGATAATATACAATCATACCACCAATGTTCAGTACAATCATCCATATGGAAGAAGGAGAAAAGAGAAAACCAAAATTTGGTGACTATTGCAAAGTTAATCAGAATTTTACAGAGGGATTCTTAGAGGTTAATGACTAGGCCAAGGTCATTTAGCAGAGAGTCCAAGTCAGAATTCAAAGCCTCATTCTTCCTGGCTTGTTTGAAATATCATAAACTAGAAGTTTCAAATTGATGGCCTTGTGGCCAAATCTGTCCCACAAATATATATTTGGCTTGTACTGTGTATGGCTATGTGATCTTGGTCAAGTTACTTGTCTTGTACCTTAGTTTCCTCATCTTAAAAATAGGTTATGAGGATTAAAATAGTTAACATCTGTAAATCTCTTAGAACAGTTTTGGTTCCTAGCACCATATGAGTAATATTATTTTATCTTTTTATAAATTTTTCAATTATATGCCAACATTTAAAATATTTCCACTACAAATCCAGTTTTCTGACTGCTCTCAAAACGAACAAACAAACAATAAACACCTGGAATATAATGGGGGGTAATATTTTGCAAATATCAAAGTGATTTCATTTTAATTTTCTTTTTTTGTGTGCATGTATGTGAAAATAACTTTATTTCATTTTGCGGAGTGGGCAGGTGTCCAGTATCACAACTTCTGGAACTGCTTCTTGGTGCCTGCCCCTGGGTGACCTCAAGCACATTGAAGTGCACCATCCTGCTCAGGGGCCAGCACTTGCCCACTGTAACAGTGTTGCCAATCTGGACATCCCTGAAGCAAGGGGACAGGTGCACGGACAGGTTCTGTGGCACTTCTTGAAGTGATTGTACTTGCAGGTGTAGTGGAGATAGTCCCGGCAGATGACAGTGGTCTTCTGCATCTTCATCTTGGTTACCATGCCAGGCAGGATCCACACTCCAATGGAAATGTTACCGGCAAAGGGGCATTTCTTATCAATGCAGGTGCCTTAAGTGGCCTCTTTGGGCGTCTGGAAGCTGAGACCTATGTTCATGTAATATCACAGGAGTTTCTCCTTCCCAGTTTCTTCCACCAGGACCCTCTTCCTGTTTTGAAAGACGGCTGGCTGCTTTTGGTAGCAGGCATGCTCAGTCTGAATGTCTGCTATCTTCCTGGCTGCCTGAAAAAACAATCCATTTTATTTTCTTAAGTCATGTTCCATTATAGACTGTTGCCTGAAGTGTAGCCCTGAGGATTATTTCCCTAATCAGGAGAGAATAGAATAGGTTTAATTGAGAGAAAAAGAAGTTGATAAATTTCCTGAGTTTCATTTAACCTATGAAGTTCAGCTCATAGTAAGAATCTCATAGAGTTCTCCCGCACTCCAGAGGAAATGCCCCTTCCATCTAGGACAGCTAAACCACAAGGCTGTGACATAAGAAAATAAAAGCCTCTTCTGATTGAAGGGTAAAGGGAAGAAGAAGGAAGACATAAGAGAAGCATTGGTTAAGAGACACCTGCCCTTGTCTTCCCACTCCAGCTCTTCAGAGCAGAAAGGATTCTTGCTCTGCTCCTGTTTGGGATTCCCAGTAGAGATTACTTGCAGACTATACCCATACCAACAAGCAGACACCCACATATAAATGAAACTGATGCCCTGGTGTAGCTGGGAAAAGAGAGAAAGCCTGCATTTAGTTTCTCAGAGTGTCAAGTAGCCAGGGGTGAATACAGGTTTTACAGGTCTTGAAGCTTGTGTAATGGGGCTATGGGGAAGTTTTTGTTAAAAAAATAAAAGAACACAAAATCATATATACAAAATTAAGTAACAGGATCTTGGAAGAGCTCTGCCAGTGAATGGCCCTTAGCTCCTGTGTGATATAGAATGTATCCAGAAGTTCCCACATACTCTGTGGAGAAATAGGGAAGGTAGCCAAGAGTACTGGCTGGTAAGTATGGGGGAAGTAACTTTGTATATTACACTGGGCCAGGAATAAAAAGTAGTAACAGCCAGACTTCAAGAAGAACTGTGGTTTGCGTCCAAGCTCTGAACAAGCTTGGTGGAGAGGCCAAGCTACAAGATATGCCACTCACTGATAACAGGTTGCTGAACATCCTGAGAAGTCAAGGAATAGTACAGAGACACCAAATGGATCCAAGGTCTCAGGCTTCCCCAACCATAATGCCTCATACACACAGATACCATTTAGTAGAGGTCACTTACAGGAAAGACTGTTTCTTTGCAAAAGATGTTACTACCTAAAGGAATTCTAACCTTAGATTCAAATATGTTTTAACCAAACTGAACATTTACATGTATTAGATACATTCAGAAGAAAGTAAAACAGCATGCTGTGATTAAAAAGTGACTGGAGTAGGGCTACTTTAGATATGGTAGTCAGAGAATATTTTTCTGAGTAGGTGACATTTGAGCTGAAAAATAAAGACCAGGAGTCAGCTGTGCAAATGTCTGGGGCAGACATTCCAGGCAAAGAGAGCAGCAAGTGTAAAGCCCCTCTGCAGGAACAAACTTCAGGTGTTCAAGAACAGAAAGGTGCTGTGTTACTAGAACCGAGTGAGGGAGGGGCGGAAGGTGAAGTCAGAGAAGTAGGCAAAGACCATTTATGAAGGGCCTTGTAAGCCTTGGTAAGAAATTTTAATTTTATTCTGTGCATGATAGAAAGCCATTGGAGACTTTTAAAAACAAAAAATGATATGAGCCATGTGCAGAATGAGCCCTAAGAGAGCAAAAGTAGACATAACTTAAGAGGCTTTGCAACACTTTAAGCATTAGATGAAAATGCCTTAGCCTAGGGCATTGGCAGTGTAGATAGTGAGAAAAAAAGTTGAATTCAGGATATATGTTTTGGAGGTTTAGCCAAAAGGCTTGCTACTAATGTATTGGATGTTGGGAATGAGAGAAAAAGATGACTTACGATAATTCTTAGCTTTTAGCCTGAACAACTAGGTTAATGGTGTTGCCCTTTATTTGAAATGTAGTAGAGCAGATTTGGGGGAGTGGGCAGAGAAGGAAGAAATA